AGCCGCTCAAGGTTGACTCAGCATTCCATCCTTCCCAGGTCGGTAAAATGAGGACCCAGATTGTTGGAGGCAATATGCTGAAATTTGTAAACTGCTTAAAGTGGGCTATAAAGCACTGTGAAGCAGTATACAAGTCTAAGTGCTATTGCTATTTGCTTTCCACCTTTGGAACTGGAAGAAATAAAAAGCCTGTCGGCAGCAGCTGAGCAACAGAAGGCAATAGAGACTGCTGCACGATCCACCCATGCCTAATGTGAGAATTTGAAGTGGCTCCCTCATCAAAGTATCTTATGATTCAGCAATCAGAGTCACACAGAATTTTGTACAAATCTGGCCATGGCTTGGTGAGCAAACCATAGTAAAGCTAATAATCATTTAGTGGGATATGTGAAGCTGCCAATATTCTCTATGGATCCCGTTAATGTGCCATCATCCTTCCACGGTTCTTGCTTTGAGCTTTGTCTCATTCATGCTTTGCCTAATTCAGCACACAGTGGGTTGACCCTTACTAACAGTTACTTTCTGGAGATGCAATTGGCAAGACCCCATATCTGAACAGAAGGTAACTGGGGCATGCCAAGGGGAGACAAAGGCCTTGTTGCTGCATCACTGCTCAGGGACATCAAGCACCATAGCCTGAGAAAATGTGCAACCTACCACTTATATGCTTGCTCTTTGGCCACAACTTGGCTGATAAAAGTCAAGAAACAGGTGAGTCCAGAATATCCTTTTAGAAAAGAGAGTGTGCTAGGTTTGAGGAAAAATAACTGGGAAGCCTTTTTTAAACAGGCCAGTCCTAGATTTCCAAGATTAAAAAAAATATTGACAATGATGAATCATCCTTTTTAAAGCAAGGAACTTGAACTGGCAGTTTCAAAATCTGTTTTGTTTTTGTTTTGTGCAAAGCAATTCACTCTGATCACCAAGAAGAAAAAGAAAGCTGTGTTTATATATTTAAGAACATTTTAAATCAGCAATTTTAAGCAGCATTTTTGTCAAAATTATTATTTTTTAATATCTGTTGCTATTTGTCAGCATTCTTGACAATTTTTAGAATTTTCTGCCCATAGGCAAAGTAGGAATAATGAAATAAAAAATAATAATGAAAATTTTAAATAATCAGCAATACTAATCTCATTAAGCATATCAATGATGATAGCACATTTTTAAGGATCTGAACTTCCCTCTGCACTGGAATCTCATTCTTCCTTTCTTCAACCTTTACAAAATAGAGACAAAATATGGGGATACAATATGATTCCATCAGGGACTGGGAGCATTATCTGTGGAATCTGCTACCTCGAACAATAAATAGTTCAGTATTTGTTTTTAAAAAGGCTCCCAGTTTCTTGGCCTGGTGGAAGAAAGTCCCAACAACTCAAGCAGACTGTCTCTAATAAAGGTAGTGAATTACAAGACCTTTGGAAGATCTCAATAATCAGTATGTGTGAATTCTGTGCTGTTTGTGATTCCTAGACTCTGGGTTTTTTTCCTTCTCATCCTTGCTGAACCTTTCATCAGTTTAGAACACTGGCATCTATACTGGAAATGCTGAAGAAAGTTAATAGTTGTGAGAAATTTGCTTTCCATAAAATCCAACAGATTTCCATGTACAAAACTCAGCAAAACTGCAGCCAAGAGAAACTGAAGGCTGTTTGCAAAAAGAATTTGAAAAGTTCTGCTTTTCTTTCTTTCTCTTTTTCAAAACATTTCCTTTCATTAGCACATTGTTTCAATTTCTTTCAGATAACCACACTGAATACTGTGTTTAATAAAAATGAAGATATGTGTTCTAACTCCAAAGAATCCTGCATTATTTTCCTCTAGCAAAATAAAACATTTCTTCAACATCAGATTATGTGACATGGGCTTAAATTACTTCTAAAAATAAAAATTTCTAATTTAAAAATAGAAGCTTAAAATGCCTTCAAAACAGTGGTCAAATATATCTACTGGATATGATTACTGATGGGAAAAAAATGGAATCTCCATATTCAACAGCAAATCTGTCTAAGCATGTAAACAAGATATCAGTTTCATAACTTGTGCCTCCGGTTCCTTGAAGAATCTGATCACTGATCACTGTAAAAAGCAAACTGCTAGATTAGATGATCTGCTTTAATTTTGAGTGTAATCCAAGTCAGCAGAGCTCTTCATAATAAGATTTTCCCTGAGACAAGTGTTGGTGATTTGGATATAGTTTGTCTTATATTTTTAAAAACCTTTTTACCAGAGGGAAAGGAGCTTCAAAATGACACATATTATGCAATATACAAAAAGAACAACTTTCTGCTCCAGATTGAGATGCTGATGTTTTCCCTCTTTGGGATTGCATCATTCATTCATTGTACATTACAAAAGGGCCCAGCACCTCTTTCCAGCACCACTGCAAAAACAGTATCAACCAGCAGAGGGTTTCGAAGCCAATTCTTTGTGTTAGCTGTCAGTTTGAAGCAGCTGCAAAATCGGAGGGAAAAAAAAAAGAAAAGAAAGAAAATGGAAATACGTTCCCTGAATTTAAACTCCCAGCAACTTACAGTATGGTGGTGTCCTTTGCAATTTTGGACGTCAGTGCCAGCTACCTCCTGACTGTGGAGCCGAGAGAAGGATCAGAGTAGTCCTTCAGTCACATAGATGCAAAAGCACCAAATGAACTGGAAGCCAGCCACATTTACTGTGAACAGCCCTCTTAATTCTGCTGAGCAAGCAGTGGCCCTCCTTTTTTAAAAAAATTGCTGCTTACATGAAAGCAAAGGGCTCAGGTTGTTTACAGAAAGGCTTAGGAAAGAAACGTGTAATTTTGCACTTTGGGGGGGGGAGGAGCCCCTCAAACCCAGCCCTGCAAGATTCCCGATTGGTCGAAGAGAAGCCGGCAGAGAGAAAGTGGGTGGAGAAGGAGGTGGAAAATTGTCTTGATTTGAACAAGTCACCTTGAACTTGCCAAGTCTGTAGGAGTCAGATTAAGGGATGGGGAGCTGAGCTAGAAGGCCTGGCATGGAAGGCAACCTGAAGAAGGAAAGTGAAGGGGGGAAAAGCTACTGGCCGCAGAAGACAAGGGGAACAAGCCCGAGAGCTGACAGAGCAACTAATGTGGTGCAGTTTTGAAGCAGGCAAGAAAATGTAAACCTGTTTCTCCCAAAAGATCTACAGATATAAAATTGTAGCACAAATTTTGTTTGCAGCAGTTCAGCTCTTTCAGTCTTTTTCTTTTTTCCCCAATGATCTCTTTTTGAATAATTTTGCCTGTCATGAAACTTCAGTGCTTTATACATTCTGGATTATACTGTGAAGAAAAGTTGCTTAGTACTGAGCCTCTGCTAGGCCTGCTGGGCTCTCCAGGGCTGCTTTCATGAACATGAAAGTAAACATACACTTTCAAACTTCCCCACAGCCCTCTGCAAATCAATTTAGTAAACAAATTGTCTTTTGCAGAAGCTTGTCTTTCCTGTCCATGAAAATAATCATGGGTAAACTTCCAAGGTGTGTTCAAATCAATCAAAAATTATAACCCCCCCATTTCAATTTGAGGTAAAAACAGGAATTATATTAAGATACATACTGTCTCATATTATATTGTCATATAATATGAAGGGAAAGCTTACAGCCAAGAGCTGAAAAAGACCAAAAATGCTGAGTTCAGCCCCTTGTTTAAAGGCAGGATATTACCCAACATCCACACCCACACACTCTATCTATCCATCTCTTGAGCCTTTTTTCCTTTTTTTATATAGTAATATATTAAGTTTCAACATCATGCATTAAAATACAAACTAACATAAAAGGGAAAGGGAAAATAATAAAGTGACAAAAAAGAACATCAAATAAATAAAAGGGACCTCTGATTTGTAAATAACCTTACATTTAAAAAACTACAATATTTCTCTAGTGAAGTCTCATCTCTTGAGCCTTTCCAAAGAAATTTTTACTACAGCAAAAGTCACACCTCTCAAGTAATTCCTGTATCTGACATTTCAGCAGGGGAGATTGGTTCTTGTTTTATGTTAGCATACGGTGTGAACCTTGCCAATTTAATATTTATGATTTAGTATTTTGTGCAACACCAGAAAATGATGTTTAATTCAGTAACTAGATTGTGTCTTATAAATTACACAGCCTATATAGGTATTGGTCTACCTGCATTAATTTTTCAAATATATGAGAACATTTAAAAAACCATAACTTCCCTGTGGGTACATCAGTCTATCCAAAAAAGTTCAAAAGTTGTTATGTGACACCTTTCAAAATCAAGTAGGTATGAATGAAACTGACTATTTTTGAGGTCAATGGAGGAAGAGGCATCTGAGTACCTTATATCAGGAGGCATACTTGTAATATATGTATCCATACATTCATACATACTTTCCCTCCCTACCTATATACCGTACATCACACACACACACATCTTTACATATAAACTTACCTGCCAATAGAAGGATGAAGATAATCTTGTCAATTTCATTTTCCTGATATGAAGTTTCTCTCTAGCAATCCTACTCAATATTGCTAATTTCCCACTATTAATGGCAGATGGAAACCAGTCACCTTAATCAAATTTATCAGGAGGAGAGGAGAAGCAATATAGCTTCCTTCTTAATTCCAGTGGCTTTGATGCAAATCACTGGTTTCACATACCATTAAGAGTTGCTGGGAACAAGTGAAGGAGTTCAAAGCAGATTGCCAGTTTCCTTCTGCACTCAGTTGACTAGCAGGACGAATGGTGTAGGGGCTGCACAACCTTCTCTTAAAGGTTTAGTTACAAAGACCAACTGAAAGTTGATAAACCTGATCTGGGCATTATCTATGACTTATATTGTTTAAGGTAAATAGTTATATTTAATGGATTACTCTATATGTCAGTGAATCTGTCAGGACTGTTAAACATACATTACACACTGATACATATATTTTAACAGATCCCATTTAGAGAAATGCATATTATGGTGATAACTATGGTAAAGTAAAAGGCATGTCTGTAAAACACTATTTCCATTCCTTAATTCCTCAAAAGCAGCTTGCAGCAAACTTGCCAACTTTATTCACTCCTGGAATGCTGAGAACATAATGAACCAATCTGCATTCTCCCTCTGGCTGACCAGTAGGAGCTTACAAAAAGTAAGTGAACAAGTATTCCAAGCCAACACTAGTTGCTATTCCTAAAGCAACAATAAAAATCCCATAACCAAAGGGAAATGTAATGAATGGCTATTGTCTTTCCATACCTTTTTCCAATACATGCTGTATGCATTTGTTTGGATTATTTGGAGTATTGGTAATAAGATGAAGCTGCCTGACTATCAAATCGTAATTCTTCCTTAATTAAAAATTCCATTGAGTGTTGTGCCATTGACATAATGTCTTCATCAGTTTTACACCCAAGCATTTTTCTCAATATTGTTCAGAACTGGAATGGTGACTGACATTGAGAAGATATAGTAAGTTCTGAACAAAATGCTTAGTTTCTAGTTGGTGGCACTAAAATTAATTGGGCAGACACTTGTGGGTTGTAAAAATTCGTAAGACCACCAGACGTCAACAACAGAATATTGTATATATAAACTCAGACTGCTGAAACTCAGGTGGTAGAAGAGAAGATGAAAGAGATCTAGGTGTCCTAGTAGATCACCAGTCAGTTTTGAACCAGCAGTGTTCAGCAGCTCCCAGAAAAGCTAATGCAATCTTAGGTTGCATCAAGAGGGATAATTTTAGGATCACATGAAGTAATAATACTGCTTTATATTGCACTGATGAGACTACACTTGGAATATTGCATCCAGTTCCAGGTGCTAAGATACAAAAAAGATGAGATTCTAGAAAGAATAAAAGCAACAAATATAAGGGGTCTAGCGGCTAAACCATATGATGAACAATTGAGGCAACTAAGTATATCTCGTCTTATGAAGAGAAGGACTGCAGCAATAAGTTCGCATCTTCCAGTGCTTGAGGGGTTGCCACAGAGAAGACAGAGTTGACCTATTCTCCAAGCACTTGAGGGCAGGACAAGTAGTAATGGATAGAAGATCGTTAGAGAGAGATCCAATCTAGAACTAAGGAGAAATTTCTTGATGGTGAGAAGAATTAATCAATGGAATAGTTTGCCACCAGCAGTTGTGGATGCCCTCCATCACTAGAGGATTTCAAGAAGACACTGGACAGCCATTTGTCCAAAATAGTGCCTCTTGCTTGAGCACGTGGTTGGATTAGACCTACAAGTTCTCTTCCAACCCTATTATTCTTTATTCTTTGTTCTTCTAATGGAAAACAACCTGCCCACAAGCTCTGTAGAATTTGACATTACAAAAAGCAAAAAGCAAAATAAAAAATAAATTGTCTCAATTGTCAGTTATTGTCACTATTAATCAGATCTGCTTTTGAACTTGTAGAAAAGTCTCCACCTTTCTGTGGAAAGGTCTGAGGAGGAAGTTGCATAGAAATGTTGTCTGTATGTGTATGCCTTTGAGTCTTGAATCCTAGCAACAAGTCTCTGCAGTTTTCTTGGCAAGATTTCAGAAGTGGTTTGCCCTTGCTGTTTTCTTCCTAGGGTTGAGAGAAAGTTATTCCAAGTTCAAAAATTTCACCTTATTCCAAGATTCTGCTGGATTCCCTGGATTTGGACATATGGGAAATACATCATTAGATCTCCCAAAGCAGAACTCTTTCTTTTCCTTTGTAGGCTTAAAAGAAGTTTTAAGTAGCACTGCAGGTTTAAACTACCTGATAAGTGGTGTCTAAAATGTATTCCCAACCAATACCATTCTCCCCACCTCATCTCTGAAATTGCTCTCAGCCATAGGGTAGAGAACAATCGGTTTCAGAATCCAACAGTTGAGGATTGATTTATGAAAATTCACTTGAGAATAGTTTACATTTTCTACAAGCCAGAAAATGAAGCCAAGTTTTTGGATTTAGTATTAATGCACTGCCCTCTTCTGACTGATTCTATATAGTTCAAGGAAGATAAAAGGCTCCATGTATAAATAAATACAGTAACCAAGATACAGACAGATTTCAGACTAGGAATTCAAAACCAGAAAAGAATGTATTATCTTCTTTTCCAGGGGTTTACAAGCATATTATTGTCCTTGCATCTTTTGGAAAGGGGCCATATTTCCTCTGAATTAGAGAAAAAGCAACTTCCCAGATTCTGCTTTTTCTATCTGAATTTGATAGAATAGGGAGAAAATATGTCCTGGAAAATGTTCCTTCTGGTGCAGTTTAAATAATCCACATATTATATCTACTCAGAGTTAAATTCAGTTGTGTCTGGTCGTATTCATAGAAGAGACTGCATCACACCTGAAGTTCACTATTTTCAAATTCAGCTACTGGGGAACATGGTGAAATGCTCTAGATTTCAAGGTAAAAGGGTGCTTTGGAGGATTTGGAGATGCAAACATAGCACCTGTTTACAATCCTTAAGCCTGGTGTCTGATTTAAGGAAATACAGATCAGAATCTATCTTTGTATCCCAATATACTCTGAGGCACTTTTTTGGAATCAGATCCAAAATGCTATTTTGTCCTACTCTAATATTGTGATTGGATATATTGTGTGACCCTAGAAAATTGGACTAATTTCAATGGATAGGTGATGGATGTTAATCCTATGTAAAGTTTCATTCTAACACATCCATCCACAAGGATGTTCCAGTTTAGAGTGAAATGTCAACCAACTAACAATAACTTACTCAGCAAATAATTACTGTATGAAAATTCTAGTTCAGCATGATGTGTGAATCCAGTTTAGACATGCTATCGTATGTTATACCATGTTTCCTTGAAAATAAGTCCGGGTCTTATATTTTTTTGAGGGGATCAAAAGACCCATTAGGACTTATTTTCAGGAATGTCTTATTTTGCAACCAACTGTCCACTCCCTCCCATCATCTGCTTGCCCATGGCCGCAATGGCTTAAAGGGCTTCCCAGGGCAGACACACTTTTCACTGGAGAAATGACAGAGACTGGAAGCTTTGCCTGCTTGCAAATAGGGTGCTTTCAGCTCTGTTTCAAAGCACCCAATTTGCAAGCAGGCAAAGCTTCCAGTCTCCCTCTGGGCAAAAAGTGTGTGGTGGATCCAAGCGGAGGCAGAGGCACAGGGGGGGAGGCATGTGATCCCCAACGTGCTGTCCACTCCACCCCACCATCTCTCGGCTTGCCTGTTGCCGCACAGGGCATCAGGATTGCCTGCCTCTTCCCCTCCCCCTTGGTGACTCTGTCTCTGCCTGCTGCCAGTGCTACTGCACAAGCCTCCTGCGAGCCTCCCATGAGCCAGGCGGCCACGCAGCATGTCCGGATTGCCTGTCTCCCCCCCGCCTCTGCCTTCGTGCTCAGACTTATCTGCACTGTGCCAAGGAGCCGGTGGGCTATGGCTGCTGCCAAACATCGTCGGCTCATGCATGCTCACCACCTCTTGTGCTAGTCATACCCATTCCCTGGGCTTATTTGGGGGGTAGGGCTTATATTAATTAATCAGGTTAGGGCTTATTTTCGGGGTGGATCTTATTTTCGGGAGATAAGAAAAGTGGACAACCTTCAGGCTGTTTTTGCATTATCTGGTAAACCTAAATAAATGCTGGATTAAAAAAAAAAGAACCAAAAAGAATATTTCTTCCAAGAGTCTGTTAAAAAATCATTGTATACAAAAACCATAGTATGCAAATAGAAACAATGCAAAGCAGTAAATTGGAAAATTTGAAAACTAAGTAGAATACAGGCTTCATTTACCTGTTTCCTTTTTTCTTAAAGCACATCACACTATGAAGAGGACCCAATGCACTTCTAAGTTCCAAACATCTGGAAAATAGAAAATCTGGGTGACTTTCTCAAAAGAAATTACAATATATATTACTCATAATACGTAAGAAATTCTAAAAGTTTTATAAACCAGTAGCCCCCAACCTTTGGGCGCCAAGGACCAGTTCTTTGGAGAGAAGTTTTTCCATGGACCATAGGGGACGTGGTTTTGCATGCTGCCTGCATCCTGTGGATGGGACTTTGCTTATTTGTGCAGACCAGTTTCTAGCATGCTGCAGACCAGTGCTGATCTAAGGATCCCATAGTAGTTTAATTAAGAGATGACAAGGGCATGAGTGACTTTGGTGCATCCTCTTCTAGCAACTTGTACACAAGTCACATCTATGCAAAAATCCAATCAAAGTCTTCCCCTGCTCTCCAAATTGGAAACCTAAAGCCAGGAGAACTGCCGGATTGTAGGACTGTCCTTTCCACAGGAGTTCAATCCTATTAGACACAAACAGACCAATATGTTTCTGAATCAGGAATCCCTCCTCCTTGTCTGGGTTGAGTCTAATTTTTTATATCCAAACTCTGATAGCCTCCAGATCCATGACTTCTACTGAATCTCCCAATAGGCCTAGGGTAGAGCTGTGTAGCAAACATACACATTGTACATAAGTACTGCACAGTGATGGTACAGTACTTCATCCCAAACTGATGGATTACTTTTCTCAACGGTTTCCTAAAGTTACCCATTCCAAGATATGACACAGGACTTAACCATGAGACATTCCATTAAGAACATATTTTATAATTCTGTAACTGTTCTTGGAGCAAATTCTCACAATTACCAACATTTGGCCCCATTTGCAACACTCTGCCCCTATTTTTCAACCCTCACAAGCAATCCAGAAAGATACTGTGGTTGATATTATCAAAAGCTGCTAAAGGATCTAGAACAGGCCTATCAAACTGGCAGCCCGTGGGCCAGATACTTCACACACAGGCCACACCCGCCTCGGCTCTGCAAAGGCAAAAAATGTCATGATAAATCCAGAGGTGGATTCTACTTACCTTTACTACCGGTTTGCAAGAAATAATTAGAAGACAGTAGTTGTCCAATTTTATTCAATTGGGTCTCCTGAGAAGCAGGTGAAGCCATGTACCAGCCTCTACCACCTCCCATTTCCTCAAAGAAGCATTGACTATATCCTGCATCACTAGGCAGGTAGGGCAAGGATCTGATCTACTGCTGGCCGAGTTAAAATTGCAGAGGATTGTATCCATTTCTTTAGAATCTACAGGATCAAAAAAAAAAATCTGTCCTTTCTATAGATTCTGCTCATTCAGCAGAGATCAAATTATGCTTCATTTATCATTAAATGATAAATTTATCATTTAGAGTAAGCTCAAAGCTTACTCTTTATCATTACAGAGTAAGCTCAAAGCTAAGCTTTAACTCATGTCTGGTCACATTTGCCTCTTGTTTTATCCCAAGCATTGTTCCAGGCATCTCTTCAGCCATTTCATTTCCCAGAGGCCCTCACTGAACCACTAGGCACCATAGGATTGGCAGGCAAGGAAAGGCTCCTCGGGGGTAAGTTTATCAAATGCCCTAGCACTTCTGTGTTCCAGAGAGCAACAAGGTAGCCAAAAAGAGTCCTGACCAAAAGCAAAAATGTCATTCGATAAACCTGCTGTGTTCATCAGATATCTGGGAAAAATAAGCCCCTCCTCCCAGGCAGGTCTAGTTAACCTTAAAAGATCACAAGAGAATGATCTGATGTAAATGAAAATGAACTGATATAAAAGCCTCCCCACAAAGGAAATCACAACACATCTGCTCCAAGGTGAATATGGTCTTTCATGTTAGGCCACTGATGGGGATGGGACCATGATTGTCATGACAGCCATGAAACCCTAGGCTGCCTCTGATTTCAGAGAGGGAAGATTGAAATCACCCAGTACAGGTAGTCCTCAACGTACGACCACAATTGAGCCCAAAATTTCTGTTGTTAAGTGAGACATTTGTTAAGTGAGTTTTGACCCATTTTACGACTTTTCTTGCCATAGTTAAGTGAATCGCCACAGTTGATAAGTTAGTAACCTGGTTGTTAAGTGACTCTGGCTTCCCCATTGACTTTGCTGGTCAGAAGGTCACAAAAGGGAATCACATGACCTTGGGACACAGCAATTGTCATAAATATGAACCAGTTGCCAAGTGTCTGAATTTTGATCACATGACCCTGGGGTCGTGTGAAAAATGATCATAAATCACTTTTTTCAGTGCCGTTATAACTTTGAAAGTCACTAAATGAAATGTTCTAAGTTGAGGACTACCTGTACTAGCAGTCTAGGCCACAAAACCCCCACCATGAGATTAAGCAGCTTGATAAAGCATTTGGAAGGATGTTAGGATTGCCATCCCTAGCCTGTTCCTTTGGCCCCAAGTCTTGAGCATGTATTTATTAGAACTAACAAGAGAATTTTAAAAACAAATGGCAAGTATTAGGACTTTTGACTTCTCTATTTGTTCTGAGGAATATGGCATAATTAATGTTACCTACGTTATGTATTAAACGGTTAGGAAAACATTGCAAATAATTTGATATTAGTGACCAGATTTCAAATGACAGGAAGAGTGGAATTATTTTAAATATAGAACTCTCCTATATTTGTTCATTCTTTTGATTTTGTTCCTCAGTTCCTGAGAGTTCAGGGGAGAATCCCAAAATCTGAGATTTAAGAGAGCAATGTAACAGTGCTTTCATGTGTGTGGGTGCATGTGTGCATTCATAAACACTTTTTAAGCAATCCAGAGAACAAAATGTTTCTTAAACAAATAACTTAAATCAGATTATATAGTAATATTTTAAAGTTCTATGAATATTCCACACTTAGGCGCACCACCATTTTGCATAGCAACTGTCTCCAACCGCCACCCTAGCCGTTATATCAGGCAGCCCAGTGGACTCCTGAGCGACGCAGCTATTTGACCAATGGGAATGAAAGGCGGCCTTTCAGAGGACCAATAGCACCCCAAGTGCTCAGGCCTTGATATGGACTATTCTAGAATGAAGGCGGTTGTGACGTCTCTAGGCCCGCCCCTTCGTTTCGTCAGACCTGGGTAAAGTCAGGCGGGAGCGTGCGTACACTCGCTCCTTTCCTTTTTTTTTCTCCTCCAGAAGTAGCCGGGAGCGATGGCGGTGAAGGCGCTCAACCCTAAAGCTGAGGTAGCGCGGGCTCAAGCAGCTCTGGCGGTCAATATCAGCGCGGCGCGGGGCCTGCAGGATGTGCTCAGGACCAATCTCGGGCCCAAAGGAACCATGAAAATGTAAGGCGGGGGGGGGGAAGGGGGAGGGGGCTCGTTGTAGGAGCTGAGGGTTGGGGAGGAGAGGCGTGGCCACGCCTTAGCCACGCCCACCCACATGGCGTTGGAGGCCGGGAGTGGCGTGGTGAACGCGTGCGCAAAATAGCCTCGAACCCACCTACCGATATGCTCCTTTGTACGTAGCCTTTCCACAGCGTTGTCAAATCATATTTTCTTTTATAAAAATGGAAAGGATCAGGCAGTACCAGTAGTGGCATCTATTTTTTTAAAAAAAAACAAATACATGCAGAGAGACAGCAAATATGTCTACAGGGCGTGTAATTAGTTAAAAAGCACTGAGCGGTACGATAAACTTCCAGATGAGCATAAAATACTTATATGTTCTGCCTCAAGTCAATTTAGAGTGATTACATATAAGGCTTGCTTCATTTTATCTCTACGCAGTTAGTTAGGAATCTTTATTCAATGCACATCCTGCCTTTTGTACTGGAGTTTGAGGTGCCATGCGTAGTCTGCCCTCCTCCTGTTTGTCCCCACATGGGTTGGGCTTAGAGAGACCACAAGTAGCTCAAAATCACCTGTGAGCTTGTGTGGCTGGAGGTGGACTAGGACCTGTATTTTACTAGTCCCAACTCCTTACCCCACTGGTTCTCTAAATTAGGCTTTGAGCATAAAATTGTCCCATCAGGCAATTAATTTTGTACAAGTCAGAATTTGAAACATACTAATTGAACACAATTGTCTTACCTTTGAGGGTGGGGGTGGGTTTACAACTTTGCTCGTCCACCATCACAGGTGGAGCACTGTTAGCATGTACTTGGCTTAATTATCAATGCATGGTGTCAGCTGAATGAAAGCATGGCAGGTTTGATTGGCCAGATCTTAGTCTGAGGCAATGTCATAGGTTTATAATTGTACCTCTCCCAAAATTAGCACTCTTACACAACTCCAAAGTACTGAAGTTGTTATGCCGTCTCCATCTGGTTGCTGTAACTGGCTGGAGGAGGAGATAGCATTAGAAGAATATTCCCTTGATTAATAGGATAGTCAGTTCCAGAATTGAAAGTAGAAAAGAGAGCCTTGGTGGTCATGGTGCCTGCTTAGCATTTCTGTTACATAAGTTTTTCTTTCACAGTGATTGTATTATTTTATTGGTCAAGCCCCAAACTATTTTTGCTAAATCCCCATCTCTTTTTCTCTCTAAAGAGAAAGTCAAGGCTATGGAATGCATGCCAAACAATCAGAAGGTTCTCCACATTGGGGTGGCAATGTGGGTCCTTTATACAAGTAGTCCTCGACTTATTACCACAATTAACTGCAAAATTTATGTTGCTAAGTGAGACATTTTTGTGACTTTTCTTGCGACAATTGTTAAGTGAATCACTGCACTTGTTAAATTAGAAACCCAGTTAAATGAATCTGGCTTCCCCATTGACTTTGCTTGTCAGAAGGTTGCAAAAGTTGGTCACATAACCCTAAAACACTGCAAACAACATGAGTCATTTGCCAAGCATCTGAATTTTGATCATATGACCATGGGGATGCTGCAACGATCATGTGAAAAACAGTTGTAAATCACTTTTTTCACTACTGTTGTAACTTTGAATAGTCACTAAACGAATTTGTAAGTTGAGGACTACATGTAATGATATTCTTCATTTCAAATTATGATGGTTGGGTTAAGATATATATTTATTAATAGGTCTTTCCTTAATGATATTTATGATGAGCCCAAAAAAGGAAACATAATTTGCTTTGAAATGTCATCTCTTTTTGCAAAACTATTGAATCATCCTTTGTACTATGACACAGTAAGGATAGTGATATTAGTAAATTAAATTTGTCAGGTCCTTTTGCCCAAACACTTGGAAAAGGAACTGGGATTGAGGGCTGATGGCTTTGCTTTCTGTTTTCCATAGGCTTGTATCTGGTGCTGGTGATATCAAGCTTACCAAAGATGGCAATGTCCTGCTTCATGAGATGGTAAGCTTTCCCTTCCCTTCCAAGAACATAAGTTTAAAATATCAAGTCATACAATATATTCTAGAAGTTTTATTTACATGCAGAAAAGAAGCATGTTGCTAGATCTTACTAGGTGAACACTTTTGGTGATACAGTGTTACTAAAATGTTATGTCAAAGTTACTGATGATTTTATATTTTATTTCAGCACAAAATGCTGTGTTTTGTTCAAATTGTGTAACAATATTCTCGAAGGATCTGTTGATCAAAGCATAAACTTCTCTGCTTTTATGGTTCAAAGATTAGAATATATACATTGCTGGTGTTACTGTGGATTGTTTCTTCAAGTGATTAAATTGATAACAAAGCACAATAGTAAAAGGAGGAGGAATGTATTCATTTTTATTTGATTTCTATGGCCGCCCATCTCAACAAATGACTCTGGGTGGTATACATCATAAAACTTAAAAAGAAATACATACAGTTGTTGAGTGGAACTATTGCCATGGATGTTAATATAGTTAAGAAACACCGAATACATTTGGGATCCCAGGTACATATTCAAGTATTCACGCCTTATGAATGGCCAGTAGGTATGCGGTCATCTTGATATATGAAGGGAAAATATTCCAGAAGGCAGAGGTTAAGGCAGAGAAATGACATTCCTGGCCGGCAGGCCCCGTGACATGCCAACCTAACCTCCTGCATCAAATTGGATGGGTAGAAATGACTGGGAGAGGACAGTCTCTTAGCTAGCTTGGTTTCAAGCCATGAAGGGTTTTAAATACAATAATGGCCATTATGGCCACCCATCTCAACAAGTCTCTATGGGTGGTATACATCATAAAGCATAAAAAAAATAAAAGCTTGGAGTTTTTGAATGCTCTTCCTGGGGAACCCCATGTAGAGCATATTGCAGTAATCCAGAAAAGAGCTCATGAGTGACTAAGCAAAGGAATGACATTTTGATGATACTCTTTTTGTTCTCTTTACATCCATCAGCAAATCCAACATCCAACAGCTTCCTTGATAGCCAAAGTAGCAACAGCACAAGATGACATCACTGGTGATGGGACTACTTCTAACGTCCTTATAATTGGTGAGCTGCTCAAGCAGGCAGATCTCTATATTTCAGAGGTATGTGACAGTGTTATATGTCATATATGTACTTGTAATCTGCATGAGGACATCTTCATTTTGCTTTCAGATTTAAAGCTGAGTGAGAAATTATTGGTGTTGCTATTAAAACAAGAGTTAGTTGCACCATCCCTATTTTGCTAAATCAAAGTGAATATCCATTAACTAGATTAAAATTTCAATCTTTGTAGCATGTTTAACAAATTAATTTTATTTTTCCTGTGGCTCTGAACTTTTATTTATTCAGATTAGGGGTGGTATATAATTGTTTTGACCACAGTATGTGAGAAATTTTTGAGTCTGTTGCACAGTGAACACCCAAATGAGCTTCATAGTTCCTTTGGCATAATTCTGTGCAAGAATAAACTGTACTTTAACCTCTGCATTGAAAGGACTTTTTCCTTTTATATGTATTCAAAAGGACAGTACAATGTGTCTTCATGCGCAGCCCGATCATCTAAAAAAGTTGAAATAGTTTTCCCTGAAATCACTTGATTTAATCTATTGTTGCATAGGCAGATTTTCCATTGTTTTCTTTTCTCTCAAATGTTACCATTAATAATGTCATAATAATATATTAAATGTATATGCCATTCAGCTCGCAGGGATTGGGCAGCTTCAGTACCTGCTTCAGGGGTTTAAAGTATGTCTGCAGAGGTTTTTTTTTTAAAAAAATAATAATAAAAGGAAATTGCTTGTGGAAACTGATTGCTTGATTTTTGCCTATAACCAGAGTATGAAATTGTATATGTGTGCATGGTTTTTTAAAAATTGTTTGTTTGGTATTAGGGGTTACATCCTCGATTAGTTACAGAAGGATTTGAAGTTGCAAAAGAAAAAGCTCTTCAGGTCCTGGAGCAGGTCAAAGTAGCAAAGGAAATGGACAGGGAAACACTCCTAGATGTTGCTAGAACTTCCCTCCGCACAAAGGTCCATGCTGAGCTTGCTGATATCTTAACTGAGGTGAGTTTTATGGATTTGTGTTATCCAAAAATAAATTCTATATAATTCCCATATTTAAAGTGAAGTGGATTCCTGGAGGAGGGATAGTTGAGTTACTAAATTCTGTAGTCCTGTTTGATGAGGCTTGTTCTCTTTTCTTTGAAGGCTGTGGTCGATTCGATTCTGGCAATCAGAAAACCAAACGAGCCAATAGATCTTTATATGGTTGAAATAATGGAGATGAAGCACAAATCTGAAACAGACACAACGTAGGTATAAGATAAATGGACTCTGTTCCCAAAGCCTTGAAACATATCAGTCTTACATTTCCTTCTGGCAGAATTGTCACTGTTCCACATCATGCTCCAGATTTTGGATCTTGTGGAATTCCGTGCCAGCATGACAGAGAATTGTGGGAATTACTGTTCAACACTGTGGGCCCTAGGATGGAAGATATACTACACTGTTTCAGCTTTATAATATCTGATAAATAAAGATACATAGTTATCTTTTATTCTGAACTGTTAAAGGGATTGAAGCCAAAGTTTCATAAGTGTGAAGTACTTAGAACCAAGGGCATGGGTGAATTCTGCATTGGCTTTTGCAATGGCTAATGGAGTCAGACACCATGCAAGATTAAAATTTGCCTCAGATTTATTTAGTGACATGCTGTGCTAAAGCAGTATGTTTGGATCTGAAAGGGATACACAACAAAGTTGTTCCTAGGAGTCCTAATTTTAGCATGAAATGCATGAGACTAGAAGGGATAAACAATTGAAACTAACTTCTTAAAAAGCTATTTTAAATATCTTTTACAGCCTAATAAAAGGACTTGTCCTGGACCATGGCGCTCGTCATCCTGACATGAAGAAGAGGCTTGAAGATGCTTACATCCTTATTTGCAATGTGTCACTAGAATATGAAAAAACGTATGTATACATTAGAATTTACAGCTCTAATTGGGACTTGCAAACTGAGCTGGTTTAATCCTACATTTCTGGAGTTTGGTATTTGGCTTATAGGATCTTCTTGGTTGAAATCCACTATTTCTGGTGTCAATTACTTCTGACTGCCCTTACCTTCACCTATATGTTTACTGGGATAGAAAACAAATCAGGCCAGATATGATTAGTATTTGAATGGGAGACACCACATAATGCTTAGATGATATGCTAGACTTGGGAGATGAAAAAATCCTGGAAGGTGACAATGGAAAACTATTTCTGTATAGTTGTCAAGAAAACTGCCTGAGTTTTGTCCATGTAATTCCTGGAAGTTAGGTTTGACCCAAATGTTAGGTTACTTTTTATGTTTCCTGTCTAACTTAAATTCTGACAGCATTTTTTTTTCTCCAGAGAGGTGAATTCTGGATTCTTTTATAAGAGTGCAGAAGAAAGAGAAAAGCTTGTTAAAGCAGAAAGAAAGTTCATTGAAGAAAGAGTGAATAAAATCATAGAATTGAAAAATTCAGTTGTTGGGGATTCAAATAAAAGTTTTATTGTCATCAACCAAAAGGTAAGAGAAGGGTTTGGTATTGATTGAGATGGTCCAAAGTGCATTGGACAAAATTTGCATCCAGATTTTGTTGATCCATTTTATCAGAAATGGGCAATTTGTGCAAATGGCTATTTGTCAACATTTGTTACTTGTGGTATTGTAAATGATCCAGAATTTCTGGGAGTCAAATTACATTTTATTATGCAAATAACATAAACTGACGATAAATTCATCATTAACAGACATTTAGCTATAATAGGAACCCCAGTGGTCCATTAAATCATGG